GACCACTTTCAGCCTCCTGCTACTGAAAATGGTTGCTGGAAGCCGTGCTCGGACATGCCAAGTGCTGCAGGCTAGATCAGGCCCGTGAGCTCAAGGTAGATCTCCTCCCCTCCGTGGTTTCAGGCTTTTTCCGAGTGCTTCTTTTGTGAGGCTGAAGCTGTTCTCATCCCAGAGGAGTTTGAAAGGAAATCCATCGAGCTGTTTTGAGCATCAGACATGCAAATAAATACAGCTGCATTCTTCAAGGAAATTGTTGGTGAAATGCAGTGTATTTTTTTCATGTGCAAGAGACAAATAAGCAATATTAAGACTAGTAAAGTTATTTAGTTGTGGAATTTAGAGTTAGAGCATCCCAGGCACCTGTAGGGACTGTGTGCGTTATATAAATAGAAATGGTTTGGACATTTGGGAGTACTAGACTGAGGTAACCCAGGCTCTAGCCTGGACTTTCATGGGATTAAATTCTTAATTGTAGGTGGAAAAAAAAATGTTGTTTGTTAATAAGGTTATGCACTTGGAAATACCTGGTTGTCTCCTCCTTCACCTCTTTCATATCCTTGTGGTCTTGCAGACTGAAAGCTCTGTGAGGTCGCTGTGTCTATGTCCTGTCTTGTCCTGCAAATATTTATTTTAATGACTAACCTTCCACATGCGAATAGCGACATAAATGAATGTCATTTGAAGACACAAGTACTCGCTCGCGCAGGAGCACCATGGGTTCATACGGTGTTACAGCACCGAGCCGTGGCTCTTGGTCGGGCTCTGGGTGCTAATGCAATATGGAATAACGGTACTGGATATGCAACACTGTGAAATGCAAAAAGCAAGCAAGGAAGCTTTGTCTTTTAGTGATTTCAGACCTTTTCTGGTTTGCTGGAGCGGGTTTTGGTGCTGTCTTTAGACATTTGTCTGCTCGGATGCCTTGCTTTGGAAAAGTACAATAGCTTTTTGTACTTTTGTGCACCCAGACTTCTCCTTACAGCTTCCTAATTGACAGTTGGCGGGTAAAAAAAATGGTGTTACTTGCAAAATCTTGAGGTTGGGGTCGATTATCATAAAGCCTGAGATGTGTTGTTGTTGTTGTTTACATACAGGTGAGGTCTGCCATAAATCCTATACTCAGTTTTCAAACCTTTGTCGTCATAAGCGCATGCATGCTGATTGCAGAACCCAAATCAAGTGCAAAGACTGTGGACAAATGTTCAGCACTACGTCTTCCTTAAATAAACACAGGAGATTTTGTGAGGGCAAGAACCATTTTGCAGCAGGAGGATTTTTTGGCCAAGGCATTTCACTTCCTGGAACCCCAGCTATGGATAAAACGTCCATGGTTAATATGAATCATGCAAATACGGGCCTTGCTGACTATTTTGGAGCCAATAGGCATCCTGCTGGTCTTACCTTTCCAACAGCTCCTGGATTTTCTTTTAGCTTCCCTGGTCTGTTTCCTTCAGGCTTGTACCACAGGCCACCTTTGCTACCTACTAGTTCTCCTGTTAAAGGACTACCGAGCGCAGATCAGACAAACAAAAGTCAAAGTCCCCTCATGACAAATCCTCAGATACTGCCAGCCACCCAGGATATTTTGAAGGCACTAAATAAACAACCATCAGTAGGGGAGAATAAGCCAGTGGAGCTTCAACCAGAGAGGTCCTCTGAAGAGAGGCCGCATGAGAAACTCAGTGACCAGTCAGAGAGTAGTGACCTTGACCTTGACGATGTCAGTACCCCCAGTGGCAGTGACCTGGAAACCACCTCGGGCTCTGATCTGGAAAGTGACATTGAAAGTGAGAAAGAGAAATATAAAGAAAATGGTAAAATGTTCAAAGACAAAGTAAGCTCTCTGCAGAGCCTGGCTTCAATAAATAATAAGAAAGACCACAGCAATCATTCCATTTTCTCACCATCCTTAGAGGAGCAGACTGCGGTGTCAGGAGCGGTGAATGATTCTATAAAGGCTATTGCTTCTATTGCTGAAAAGTACTTTGGTTCAACAGGACTTGTGGGGCTGCAAGACAAAAAAGTCGGAGCCTTACCTTACCCTTCCATGTTTCCCCTCCCGTTTTTTCCAGCATTCTCTCAATCAATGTATCCATTTCCTGATAGAGACTTGAGACCGTTACCCTTGAAAGTGGAGCCCCAATCACCCAGTGAAATAAAGAAGATCCCAAAGGGAAGCTCTGAGTCTCCCTTTGACCTCACCATAAAGCGTAAGGAGGAGAAGCCACTTACTCCCATACCCTCAAAGCCAGCAGCCCCCTCTGCAGCAAGCCAGGACCAGCCTCTAGATCTCAGCATGGGCAGCAGAAGTCGAGCCAGCGGCACAAAACAAGCCGAACCTCGGAAAAACCACGTCTTTGGAGAAAAGAAAGGAGGCGACCTCGAGCAAAGGAAAGCTTCGGAGTCCTCCCTGCAGCACGCCAGGCCCACCCCATTCTTTATGGATCCCATTTACAGGTAATGGACTATCTGCTGCCGTTTGGCATCCTTTGGTACAGGCAGCTAGGTCTGCCGGGGCCACCTGCCCGCAGATGCAGGACAACCCTGTTCCCTTCCTACCATCCCTGGAGGTGTCATCCCACCATGGGATGGCCCAGCCTGCATGCTGGCCTGCGCACACCGCCTCCCGGGTCTGGTAATGCTGCAATTAGCAAGTCTTCATGACTGCCCTCGTTGCAGTGAGTCGTTAGTTTAACCTGCGTAGCTTGACATGCAGAAGTTGAATATATTCTCTTACCCAGAAACCACTTGGCGTCAGTATTGAATGTTTGTGTGTTTACTGTGTATTTGACATCACTGGTTTGCCCCAAATTCCTTTTCTTCCAAAATGCTGCCCACTTGCCTTGACTGCCCTCTGCCTCCCCCTGGAAATTACGGGGCGTCTCACCAGGCTGCCAGTTGTACACCACCTTTCTAATTCCTCCTGAATTAAATAGGAGTATCTTGTAAGTACAACAAAGAAACAAATTTGTCCTGAGGTGTATAAAAAGTATGGAAATCGAGAGTGATTTCTGCCCTTTTTTACCATTATTTGAGCAATGGGTTGATTTCCCCAGGCGTATCATTAATGTAATTGAAGGCACGGTGTCCTTGTGCGTACAAAGCCTAAGCAGCGGGCTAGTTAATCTCATCTACCTTGTGAAATCAATGGGAGCCTTGTCATGGGTTCGACGAGTGCACAAGCAGACACTGTCAGTGAGCTGAGGTTTTAAAAGCCAGTGGTAAAATCCTGACCCCTCGGTGTTTCCCAGTAGTGCTGAGAGATCTCACTGGCATCTGGATTTCACCTGCATCCTGTGTATGTCAACCCCTCTTTGCCCTTTGCCTTTCTGCTCGTATATCTGTAACCAACCAAAGCTGTGCATCTAAATTAGTTTAGAGAAATATTAGCCATAAAAATATTTATCTGTAATATAAATGACTGATTTTACAGCCTATTGTTAAAAAAAAAAAAAAAAAGGTTACTGCCATGTCAATGATGTTAATTTATTACTTTATCTGAAAAAGAAATGCTATGGGCACAGTTTTTGGACAATGCTCTTGCATACGACAACAGGTATGCATTATGAAGAAACAGGATATGATACTATTTACTGAGATGGTTTTATTCATGCCAGATTGATAACTGTATTAGACCATAGGTTTTCTTTGCGTCATACTCATTTTAAATGCCTGAAGCAGTGGAAATAATGATCCGTGTTTTATGGTACTGCGTTACAAACTAATGAAATCTGTACAAATTCTGGCAGTGTAGCACAAGGCCACTTGTTACCGAGCCTTCCTTTGCCATGAGTTACATCTACATACGGACAACAGCATCTGTCCCTTAAACCCTCCACATCAGTAACAAAAAAAGGAAAAACCTCAGATTTCCACACTGCTTCTGAATTATCCGCACTACGTGTCGCTGCCTAAATGCCCACATGAGCTGATCGCAGTCTTTGTTGCAGGCATAGCAGATTCGCTGTGTTCCTACAAGCCCGCGTTTCTCGCCCTGCTTGTGCACGGCCAGCTGAGCGTGCACGAGGAGAGAGTTCCAGGATGGTGGCTGCGATGTCTCGCACGGGCAGACAAGAAGGGACCCATTGCCCAAGGCTCCTGTTGCCTTGAATTCCTCTCCTCTGAGTGGAGAGCACACTCAGTTGCCTTAGTTCTTCATAAAAGTGCTCAGTAGTTAGTCATTGGTTCCTATTAGAATTATTACCGTTCTTTTGAAATGGGATTATTTCCTATGTAAATGGTATAACCTCCCTTTAATGGCGATTCACAGCCCCCACCCGCAGTAATGACTTGTGTGCGGGAATGGAGAGTTGACTGTACTTCCTTATCTGTTACCGTTATCTCTGAGAAACAAATTACTTGATGTATAATTGACTATTTTAAACATGAGTAGCTGTATAATTATTATTATCTGAGGCTGATTCATCACAAGCAAATCTAATTTTAACATTTACAGAGTAGAGAAAAGAAAGTTAACTGACCCACTGGAAGCTTTAAAAGAGAAATACTTGAGACCTTCCCCGGGATTCTTGTTTCATCCACAAGTAAGTATTTTGGGAATTTTGATGTTGTAAACAAGCCTGTTGATGCTTCAAAGCAGGTGCAGAGAAATGAATGCAGTCTTAGTCATTTTTGGATTTCCTAAAACAGTTTTTGCTGCACCATTGTGGTGGAAAAGCGTAAGCATTGTTCTGAGCTTCTTGATGTTTTGCAGATGAAACAACATGTTTTGATTATAGAGGAAGCCAGATTCAAACTACATGTATGTTTTAGAACCGTGTTCCTCCAAAACCGTAGCGTAGTTGCAGCTACCTGCATCTTCTTCAGCACTTTCCCGTGCTCTGGGCCATGGTGGTGGCGTCAATATTGACTACAGGGAGGCAAAGTAGATTCAAAGTCGGGCCAGCGAAGCTGAGCGTCCCAGTCGTCACTATTTAAGGACTCCCAGACAAGAGATAAAACATTCCACCCAGTGCTTTCAAGTTTCATAATGCAAATGCTTCATCTCTCTTAGGTAGCTGTTGTGGGCTATGGTGTGTGCAGTGACTGTGTGGGATCCCTGCTCCTCCGTGCCTGCAGACATGCTATTTGAGAGAGTCTTGCTGAATAACTAAAATTTAGGAGGATGTCCCTAAAACACTGTAATAACTGCAATGCGTATGTAGTATAGAAAGAGGACCTGTATGCAAACCATGCGTTGCTTTTCTTCAACAGCACCCTCATTTTGTCTTCCTTCTCCTTGCTTAAGGAGATTTTGCTAAAAGTTTAGTTTAAATCTTATGCCTGAAATAAAATGCTCTGTGGTATTTGCAAATATGAACCCCTTGCTGACTACGGGCCGTTTCACTCTAATGATAACACCCCATACACGTCTTGTATTTTAAACATAAAACCAGGAGCTGCTGTCTCTGGTTCAGCTTCCTCTGATTCCTGGGCAAACCTTGCCATAATCTGCCACAAATTGCCTTTTTTTTTTTTTTTTCCCCCCTAATGAAGGCAATGTTTGTTATACCCTAAGTTGTATGGAATATATTCTGAAATATGGGACTTATGGAGAACTGGGAAGAGCAGCTGATGCATAAACATAATGCTGATGCATGGATGAAGAGTGCAGAAAACCACCCTGTTCCAGTTCCAACGCCTGTAGGAAGTGAAAGGTCTATTAAGTATTAAAACTATCCAGATTTTATGGAAAGGATTTAATAGCAGCTCAGCACCTCTTCCTGAGTTACCTTATTTGCCCAAGTTGCAAAGCAACGAGTGAAAATTCCCATTTCCAAGCGGACAGTACTAATGCACAAACACGCAAACAGGAGCTCAACCCTCTTTGTGTCCCCTGGTGTAAAACCGGGCTGGTTCCTCTCCATCAAGTGAGTGATTCTGTTAGAGCAGATGAATCATTATTTCAATGAGGGCATTTTAGGTGCTGTATCGATGGAAGAAAGGATATTGTTTTGCTTAGTGCTAGCTAGCTTTTTGGAAGGTGTAAATCTATGTCGTTTAGTGATGTTGGATTCAAGGGGCTCTGAAGGTTTAGCCGCAGGTTGGTAGGTTGGCGGGTGGGAAAGGAGGCTGTTTGGGTAAAAGTTTGGCTGTGGTGGGCAGGGAAGGGGTTGGATACTCTTCTGTGTAGCGTTGTGTGAGTGATGTGGGGAACTGGAGGAGGGTGAACGGGAGTTAGGCGAGCGGGTGAAATGGAGACGTTGGGCATTTTGCCATTAACGGGCAGGATGTTGGGATTTCAACCGCCGTGTTTTTTCCCAGAGGGTCGGTTAAATCTATTGCTGGTGTGCGAGGAAGGTCCCAGCGCGGTCACCAGGTCCGTCAGTGTGAGCAGGAGGCGTCGGGTCCCCCTCCCTGCGCGGTCCAGCCGAGGTGGGGCACAGCCAGCACCCTCCGGCACCAGGGAGGGTTAGCTCTGCACCTGCGTTGCCGAACACATCCACGGGAGTGCACAAATACGCACGTTTTACCTTTTTCACCCATTCCTCCACATTTCTCATTGTGCAATAGAAAAAAAACCCACAAAACATGGTAAAGACTGCCTTTCGTGTTATCACTTAGCTAGGGATAACATCTTCAACTTGGTGTGAGATGGAGGGATACCAAGGTCACAAGTGTAACGTACTCTTAATACATTGTAAAAAAAACCTAAACCACCATCGCATCTCCTGTCAAAAGAGTAAATGCCAAAATCTGCTTTCTCGCTGACTTTAGTAGAAAGGAGTCTCCCGTTTGCAAAGGCAGAATTTGGCTCGGTATTTATAGAGGACTGGGGCACGGCTTGCAGAAAAGCTGTTTTTGCTTTATAGTCTTGTTCACCCCTGTAAAAGTACAGGTGTGGATTGCACCGTGAGTTTTCATTTTCTGCTGGCAGGATTTATCTGCTTAAAATATGAACAAAATTATTGTTTGTGTCCTACAAGTTTGTGTTTCTGTAGGTGAATTTATTTCTGAAACTTGCCATCTGATGCAGCAAGAATTTATTTTTTTTAACTGGATAATATGACAGCTTACAGATCGATCTTTAAAATAGGTTTCTGAAGTAGAGATTAAAGACCTAAACCCTGCAGTCCCTAGCCTGTCCCTGCCTGGGCAGAATTCCTCCCAGTGGCAGTGGCCCGAAAGCTATGAAAATTAGATCATTTAACGGTATTTCACAATAATTTGCCATTGTAAGGATTGCATGTTTAGGGAGAGAATACCCTGATGCAACAAATGATTCAGAATACCATTTTAATTAGTATCTTTAAATAAAATCTTAATTAACAGATTGATTGCAATGAGGGTTCCAACACAGGAATAATATGTTGTTTTTGTTTCAATTTTGCTCCCAGTTCCAATTGCCTGATCAAAGAATTTGGGTAAGTTCATTGCTTATATTTTTGATTTAATCATTGTGAAATAAATTGCATAAGAAAAATACCATATGAAAGATAACTTACCACTCAATTATGGAGCATGCCACACTTTCCTACAGAATGTTGTAGCTGTAGCAGATAAATATCCTCTTATGTCAAATTGGCTTTATTTTTACCTGCCTAATCCTGCCGGTTTTATTTGGTGAAGGCAATGGGAGCTTTACCTGAGTGAGAGTTTCAAAATGCAGTCTTTGTTTATATTTAACTGAAATTGTTCCAAGCCGTTTCCTTCAGAGATTGCAGTGAAATTTTCAGGCTGAAATCTTGTTATTATTGCAATAGTTATAAATATTTAATCTGCATTTGAGCCATTAAAATACAGAGCCTCAGAGGACTCCACGTTTCTATCTCGCTTTGACTTCAGTGGGAGTTAGTCACTTTAGTAGCTTTGAAGTTGTGAGCTTAATTGCTCATTACTGTACTTAAAGCACAAATAAAATACCCATTTATTTGCTGTGTTTGGGTCAAATTTGTCCTGTGTGTATACTTACATCGTCCCCCTTACGCGAACAGGAATTGTGCTTTTAGTACTATGGGATAAATTTGAGCTTGCTCTTCTATTTTTATAGAACGTTATTTTTAATGCGTCTAAATTGTTTGTGAAAAAAAAGAGCCACAGCAACTGCTTTTGCAGATGCAACTCCAATAACACCGTGTTTTGCTCTTGCATTGCTGGCTCCTCAGCTGCAGCACTGAACCCATAAATACTTGTCCCAGATTTTTCCCAACCTTTGGGCTTCGGAGAGGAGAGCTGGAGCCAGCCCGCTGCGGTTCGGGTCCTGACTCACTCTCGCTCATCACTTGCAGTGCGATGTGGACTTATTTCACAAGACGAAGCCAGAATTTCACAAAATGAGATCTGAGATCTTCACGTACGCTTTCCCACGTGCGTCTCTGTACGGGGCAAGTGCGGGAGCCCCCAAAGGTGCTGCCCCTGCGGATAGGGGCTTAGCCCTGCTCTCCTCTGCGTGTCTCCATGGCACGCTTCAAAAGCAGCGATGGACCTTTGCTTTGCGTACACGTGGCTTTTAATCCCATTTTATTCCTGTGAAGTGACGGTTTGAGCAGCTGCGAAAGATGCATTAGGATCCTGAGATGAAATGAGCTGAGCAGGCACCGAAGGACTCCTGTCAGCACCCATACGTACTGAATGAGCTCAGCAGGTGGGAGGTAGGGTTAGATGTTACACCTGGAGAGCACAAGAGGTGATTCCCAAACATTTTCTTTGCAGTAGAGGGAATTCGGTGTAGCACGTGAAGGGGCTGTGGTAGAATTTGTGATTTGGCCCAGGCACCCTGAATCCTCTGCTGTCAGAAAAGCGGCTCTGTTTGGGCACATTTCGGAAGTTGAAAAAGCCAGTGCAGTCTGTTTCTTCTCTCTGCTTTCCTTGACATTGGCTTCTTCCTCGGTTTTCCATCCTTCCGGGGTTTTTGTGAGCATGTATCTCCTGGCCATGCTAGTGCTTTGAGCAGCTGCAGCAGAAATAGGTATTTAAAACATAAAGTGCCTGGAGCAGGATGCTGATTCATGAATGAATCTTCATCTTGAGAGATTTGAATGTGTCACACGAGCCTTTCTATCTCAATTCACAGTTGCATGTGCCATATATTTCAAGATTATTTCAGATTGTTTTTCATTGTTTGGCAGGAACCCTATAGTGCAAATCAATGGGCAGCACCCTCTCTTGAATGGATCACAATTTATTTAGTCTGTAGATTCTTTCATCCCCTTCTGGTCCCATCAAGAGAAGGTTTCTATAAAGAGGTTCGTACTTTATTTGCAATAGCTTTATGGAGAATCATTGTAAATAATTAAAATAATTTTACAAATAAACGAAAAGACAGTTGGTGAGTGCATTAACAAAGCTTTTATTTTACTGGGCTTATTTTAGGACACGATCCAGTCTGTTAGATCAGCTAAATCCCCGCCAACTGCATTAATATAAATAGAGTTATTGTGGAACTATACTGCAGATCAGCAGGAGTTTCTCACTACCGCTTCATAAAGCTCAGCCACGTGTGATAGGTCTCTTGAACGTGAATATAGCTCAGCCAAGTTCCATGGCTGGATGTCCAAATATACACAGTTTCAAGACAACAAATTCATAAGTTGTAGTTTTTAGAGAAAGCATTATAAATTGAACTGGGAAGGAAGAAATCCTGAGCTTTAGCAGTTGTGTTTTCAAGATTTCTCTAAATAACACTAGTAAAAATAGAAAGCAAACATTGAAACAATTTTTTTCCCATGAGTTACGGCCATAAAGTCAGTTGTTTTTGCGATAATAGTAATGAAGGAGTCGCGTTTGTAAAACATGAGGTCATGTAATTCATGACATTGTCTGCTAGATTATTTCATATCATCAGGTTGTTCTTAAAAAGCAGCAACAACAAACCTTTGCTTTATTTATGCCACTTTTTGTTCTGTTGGTTAATAAATTTTAAGACAAATATTCAAGGCCTCCGCTGATGATATCTTGCCTGTTGAAATGTTTATAAATACTTGTTTTAGCCGATTATGGTAATGTCTGCATTTTTGAGTCGGAGCTGGGGAATTGCGACTGCATATTAGTTTGCGTCAGTAGGAGGTTAATAGCCTCTCAGGGAGCCGGAGGGAGGTGGGGGAAAGCTGCTTCCTTTTCCAGACATCTGGACACAGATAGAATCAACAACTCTTATATATGTAAATCAAAAGTTACTGTTCTATATAAAATACTGTCATTCACTGATCTCAGATTAGGAGCAGACATGACTTGTCCATAAGGCAATAGCTGTATGTAAAATATGTAATAGGATCTTCTCGCTCTCGTACCTCCTCGGAGAGCTTTCTCCGTAGACATGGCAATTACACTAATCCCATCCTTGTGCCTTCCTCCCCGTGCCCCGTTCAGGGATCGCCGCAGCCCTTGGGCGCTCGGCTGGGGTGCAGACCCCTCCTGAAAGCGCTGCCCGGCGGCTCGTGCCACACGCCTGCCTCGCTGGTGGTCCCCAGGGACCATCCCCGGGGAGACGAGGTGGCCACGAGCACCCACCTAACCTCCCAGGATAGATACTATCGCTCACAGCTTGCTCCAGAGTTTGGCGGGGTGCTCCATGGTCAGCACAGCTCCTGTGGAGGCAAGTCGTGCTTTGCAATCAGCCGTAGTGGTGTTTTGTGGGAGTGAGACCTACTTCGGTTGTGTTTTTCAGCTGAAGGAGGGAGTTTCATTGTGGAAGAGAGAAGGTCATACCCTGGGTTAATAATTAGTCCAAAGAAAAAAAACAACCCAGGGAAAAAATGGTAAGAATAGATCAGGGATTTTTACAATCACTGAAGATTATCAGTGAGTTGACCTAGGGGTGTCACCAGGATCTGAACTGTGGTGTATGTCTGTAAATGACATAGGAAGAAGGATGACCAGCCAAAGAACAAAGTTTGCGATTATTTCTTGAGAACAGCTAAATCCAAAGCTGACTGTGAAGATTTTGCGGAAGATTCACAGAAAGCTGAGTCACCGGGGATTAAAGTAGCAGTAAAACTCAATGTCAGTAAGTACCCAGTAATACTGAGGGGAAAGTGTGGCTCTTAACTTGTGTCATTCAGGAAGAAGATCTTGAAGTCACTAGTTTTATGAAAATATCATCCGAGTGCTTAGCAGAGAGGAATTGAAAACATCATTATGTTATACTGCCTTCATGTCCTGAATACAGCTGAAGTCCCTCTCAAAAAGGACATAGGAGAATTAGAAAAGACGCAGAAAAGTGCAACAATGATGATCAGAGGTAGGGAACAGCTTCCATACAAAAAGAGACTAAGTAGATTTTGATTTTTTCAGCTTGGAAAAGAAATGCCCGAGGGAGCTGTGCCCCAGCTCTGTGAGACCATGAATGGTGAGAAGAACCTGAATGAGAAATGGTTATTCATTAGTTTTAACAATACAAAAAAAAAAAAAAAAAAAAGAGAGGCACCCAGCTGAATTATCAGGAAAAAGGCTTAGAAGGAACAAAAGCCAGTATCTTTTCATATGCACCTAATTAAACTGGCGAACTCTCCTTGACAAAAATAGAAATGGATTCGAAAAGGGTTTAGCCAAATGAATGGGAGCAGCAGCCACCAATGGCCGATCAACACCGTAATCGAGATGCAACCTCCAATTAAGGCTCTTTGCACCTCTCATTGCTGGTGCGTGACAGAAGACACCGGGGAGAAGGTCCGTCCCTTGCCCTCCCTCCTGCGCATCCCCTGGGGCCGCTGCCTGAAACCAGGGTACCGGCCTCCCGAAAGCGCATCGCAGGTTTGTAATTCCTGCTTGGTTTTAGTGCCCGAGTTAGTCCTCAGTGCAGCAAACCCCGGGTTTCTTATTACTCAGTTAGTATTTTACAAGCAGACTGATGAGCAGGGGCTGTCTACCTGCATACAAAGTAATTGAGAGCTGCTTATGGGTCTGGGCTGGCAGGATATTATGGGCTGTAACAAGCCTGTGCAGCCCAGGTGCCCATCTCGTGATAGGGAATTGCATCCTGAAGGCCCCGAGCACCAGCACGCTCCAGGACTTGTTAAGGAAATGCCCCAATTTTAATTCTTGGGAGCCCCGTTTCCAGCAGATAGTAACGGCTGTAATTATCCTGACGGCAGTGGAGGGACACCGCCTCCTGTCAGCACAGGCTTGGGGCCGAGCACTTCCCGTTGTTGCTAGTGCATTTCTTGAAAAATATAAATCATACCAGGTAACTGCATAGATCAGTCTTTAAAAAAAAAAACAAAACCAACAACAAACAACAAACACAATAGTCATTCCTATGGTGAGAAACATATTTTTGGAAAGCAGGTAATACTTTAAAATGATTGGAAGTGCTTGTGTTTCCTCTGAACGAGGGATTTAAGATTAGATGCTGATTTCATACCTATTTTGGGACTGATGTAATCCTGGAGGCAGTCTCAGTTTCTCCTCTGCAAAATCTTGGAAATAAGAACTAAAAAAAATAAGCATGACTAAGCCATTTTAAATGTAAAGGGGAAAACAGTTGCTTTAATATATTACTGTAGGGGACCATGTGCATGAGAAATGGTGATCCAAAAATGATTTAAAACCACTAGATAATGAAACTGACTTGAATATTAAATATACATAAATAAAACATTTATTATACCGCTCAATGCCCTTATTATTCTTCAGCATAAATATGTGCTATCATAACCCATGCACTGTCTTGTCACTGCTAATCAGCCCGAAGGCCAAAGGTCATTTTTCATTCAAACCATTTATTTTCCGCAATTGCAAAATAGACAAATGAATTCTTGCGGGGAGCAATTAGAAGGAATTAAAGGCAGTGGAAAGTCTGTTGTAAAAGCTTTAAGAATCAATTCTGACTAAAGAAAATGATGAAGTCGTATAAGAAGAAATATATGGTAATGTTGAGTTGTATGGGTTGATAATGACATCTCGGTGCCGAGATAGAATTACCTCCTCTCCCAGCAGCATCATCATTACATATCTCATGCCTGTGATCAGTACATGTCAAAATCCTTCATATTGACAAATGTGCTGTCCACTTGCATCTGTGGAGAATGTTTTAGCAGCTGAGTGATTATGAATCAAACCCCAGAGCTTACAGCCCCTACTGCCTCGCAATGCTTTCACATTTGTTGCCTGACAAGTAAATGTATCTTGACTTCCCTCTGAGATTTTTTTTCTCTTTTTTTGCACCATGTTTGATGAAAGACATTTGGCAAATTGGCAGTGGTACCCTGTACATTGCAATTTGTACTCGGCATTAGGAATCTGAGCATGAAATGAGAGGGCAGGCTACAGGCTAAAGGGAAGAAAAAGCCAACCCAAAGCCAGAGCTAACCAGCTTGTGAGTAGTCAGGCCAGGAGACAAATGTGCAATTCTGCCCATTAAAATAAAATAAAAAAAACCAAAACAACATATGTGCAATTCTCCCCATTAAAATAAAATTTTAAAATCCCAACAATCAGAGCAGTCGCTTACGGATTTTGAAGAATGGGCTGTAAAGGTGTGCTCAGCTGAGGAGCGTTCAGCATCTTGCCTTTCATGTAATTTCCTCCTTTGTTACAAGCAAAGTATTGCACAGGGCTCATGCTGTGGCTTTTATGCTCTGTAGGTGAGATCTTGGGTTTCTTTTTTTTGGGTTTTTTTTTGTTTGTTTGTGGTGTTATGGAGAGGCAGATGGTTACTCTGACCTGTCAGTAGGATCAGCAGCAGCCTTGAACTCTTCAAATGACAATGTTTGAAGGTTTGGAGCAGTTTTTCATGCTCAGTACCTGACACCTCAAAGGAAATCATTCTCCAGAAATTATTTAATGCCCACTCCCTGAAAATTAAAGCCCTTTAAGACAGCTAACCAAGAGTGGAGGCATCTCAAAGTGCATAGGATTTACAAGCAACTAAAGGTAGAGCAGGAATATTCAGAAGTTGTAGAAAAAATGGATAGGCATCTAACAGGTAGTATAAACACATAGCACCAAACCCACCAAAGCTTCATTGCTTAGGGATTTATCTCTTGGTCTTTGACTGTGATGGGTAAGAAGACTGGACTGAATGGTTGGATGTCGCTGGGACATTGGTGGAGCCTCTCTGGATCTGGCTTCTTGCAGCCCTTGGTTGAGCTGAGTGTTCATATGGTTTCCTTTGCAGTATTTGCCCTCTGCAAGTCCTTTGAAAAACCCCAAAGTGTAGGAATTCAGTTCTTGTTGTTTTTTCTGTTGATTTGGTCAAAAATGGCCAATGGTTTCCGTAGATGGGGTGCATGGACTCATAGGCACACACCCACAGAGCATGACTGCATAAACTGGAATTTTATAGAAGCTGAGGCTTAAAAATAAGAAATGAACACTGGCCAATTTAGGTTTTGTGTGGAAGCAGCTTTCCATTACAGCAGTCAGGACAGGAGTTCCGCTGTATGCTGACCTTGCAGAGAAACAGCACCCCGCTTAGCAGTTACGGGTGTTATTCCAAGTGGGACAACATCGTGGCCACCACCTTGCCTAATGTTGTGCCCCATAACTTTTGAGACTGCAACTCTACATTTTGTTTGGGGTTTTTTTCCTTTTCCTTTTTTTTTTTTTAACCTCTTGGCAGTATATGTTCTTTGTAGTTTGGGTTTCCAGTGAAGGCAGAAAGCCGAAGCAGTATTCACCATGACGGGTTCTGTGCTATCTTCTGTTGCAGATGTCAGCTATAGAAAACATGGCTGAAAAGCTGGAGAGCTTTAGCGCCCTGAAACCGGAGGCCAATGAGCTGATCCAGTCGGTGCCGTCCATGTTCAACTTCCGCGCGCCGCCGAGCGCCCTGCCCGAGACCCTGCTGCGGAAGGGCAAGGAGCGCTACACCTGCAGGTAGCCCCCAGGCCACCCCACGCTGCCCTCTGGGGCTCCCCAGTCCCTCCTGCTTGGATGCTTGATGGGGACCGCAGCGGGTCTTTCAGGGCTCTCTGTGCTCCGCGAAACATGGGAAGCATTTTGCTTTGGGGTTCTTATTTATTAAATTACTGGTGTTATGAAACAAAGAGTTTGCCCTGTATCATACTAGTTTGATAAATGAGGTGGAAACTATTATATAAACAATTCTTTTTTTCCAAATTTTCTCATCACTTTCATATGCATAAGTGTGCTTTCAGTATTGATTTTTTTTGATCATAAACTACAGACATGTTTTTTCTCAGGCTTCTGGTTTTAATATCCAAAGGGATCAGTGATAAAATACATGACTTATTAGGACTTATGCGTACAGACTTAAAAAAAATAATACAATGAAGATAGTCATTGTACGTGCAGCCAAAATGAATGGGAGCTTTGTTGAGGAGAGTAGAATTAGCTGTGTGGGTATTTTGAAGGCTTATACATCACGTTGTGAAAAATAAATGGGATGTTAAAAGTGAAGGGATGCAATCTTCAAAGTCGTCACGTGGAGCAACCACCACCCTCATGCACTTAAGAGAGTGCTGTGTGCGTGCTCTTTCCCCGTGCAAAAATGGGCTGAATGTGATTAATAGAACTGGCCACTTAAAAACTGAATATTAATATGTTACTTGAACAAAGAGGGATAATATTTTTTTTGGCCATTATAGTTCCTGTGACATATTACCAAGTTTGGAGAATGGTTTTTAAATTGCATTATTTAGGTCTCTATATCATCTCCAGAATGCGCAGGCGTTTGACACTGGCGTATCGGTTTATCTGATCTTTTTGAAAACATGTCACCTTCTTTCAAGACATGTCGTTATAGAAACATACCTTGATGGATTAGGTCTTTGAGTCTTGTCTGCTCCGATCCTATTCAATGCACAGAGTGATGTCACATTTGCTGACACGTAGAATTGGTTGAAAGGTTTGAAATTTGCTTACCAGGAGGCAGAAATCCAAGGCTTTAATAACAGATTCTCTTGATTCCAAATCTGAACGTGACAGATTATCACCTAGTGACCTTAGAAAATTTTGGGTGATCATTAAAACTGGTAAGTTTTCACATATCCCTTGCCTATGCCCAAGGACAGCTGGTCAGTGCCCGCTATTCCAGTCCCATTCTTAGGTGTGTGTGTCTCAATCACTTACATTTGCCAAATGTGTTCACTGAAATGTCGTTACACTAAAGCAATGCCAATAGTACCGTATATTAATGATGCAATTTGGGCTGTGCATCCGGTGCAACTCAGGCTGGGACGAAGCCATTGAAGGTTGCATTGTCTTATCAAACCTTTTCTTATCACAGATACTGTGGCAAGATTTTCCCGAGATCTGCAAACCTAACACGTCACCTGAGGACGCACACTGGAGAGCAGCCCTATAGGTACCGCGAACCTACCCGTGTCTGTGATGTGCACAAGTGAATAAAGCAAGGGAATGAGCGGTCAACAGTGCTGCTCGGCCAGCTCCAGCGCACGCTCCTTAGCAGCCCATTGGTGACCCACCATTGCGTTTTGGTCTCAAATAGGGCTTTTTGTGCCTATCTAGACAAGGGTGGCTGCATTTGATGCTACAGCGTTGGAGCTGCAGAGATGGGGGAGGGTTTTGGTCCTACTTAGTGAAGTTCTTTTGGCTTAGGCAGCCACCCAGGCACCATCCGCAAGTCCTGCCTTTGCCTCGTGGGATAGCTGGCACTTCTGAACCAGCATGGTTGAAATGATTTTCAGTAGGGCTCACGGTCATATTTTCCCTTGCAAAAATGGGGGGTTTTTGTAAGAGGTCTGCGGTGTTATTTGCAGCCTAAAGTTGGGCGTTTTGTCAATCATCTGATTTCTGAAAGGTCCCGGTTCCAAAGTGTTATTGTATTTATTTGTTTCCTGTCTAATCTGGATCCTTTCTGAGGTCTGCTTAACCAAAACCCATGTGGGTGTACTCTCTTGTTCAAAAGAATATGTCTGTGATATTGTATCCAGGACAGTCACATGCAGAAACGTGTATAGAAGCCTCACCTTATTGAAAATGAAAGACTAATTTAAATCAACTGGAAAGAAGCCAGTTCATGTTCCAGTAAAACAAATGCACCGATTTCTGCATTTTATGAGCTGTAAAGAGCAGAGTAAGCTCATTGTTTGTGAGGAAACAATATGTTTTTTGCCTCTACTCTCTTTGGGAAATGAGATTCACATCTAATTTTATTGAAGGAAGGTCTTGATGCATGTTATACCCGTCCACTACATAAAAGCCCCAAGCAATTAGTAGCATAATGGACGATTTCAGCACTAAAAAAAAAAATTGACATCAGTGACAAGCGTAAGAGAAGCACGGGAGAAGTAAAAGATTGAAAAACTAAAGTGGTGAAGACTGTTGGCTAGTTGCCAGGCAGAGAATTTGGAATAGTTATAGTATGACTTAGTAATGGCTTAAAGAGCAATACAGTAAAGGCTTTAGGGACTCCAAATCGCTACAGAGTATGAAAATTGATGCCTCTGGTACCAGAGTGATAGACTAAACTACTCACATTGGCACAGTATTAAAGGTTGGGATTGTTTATTGCTGGTTTTTGCAAGATAACCAAATTTCCTCTGGGATTAGCAATCGAGCAAGCTAATTCCTCAAGAAAAGATTTAATCACACAGTATAATTTAGAATAGGAAAAGAAATAGCCCTTTTTACCTTATTTGAGTGTTAGAAGAGATCTGTTTCATGTTTTTTCCAAAAGTGTTTAATTGTATTGTATTGGCAGCACATGAAACAATAGAGTTATTGCTCTACTGTTTTCAAACTTCCCAACTTTGCGTGCAACAGTTTTAAAAACATGGGAATCAATTACCCTAGCTAATTTGATGCCATTAACTCTGAAATATTATGCTTATTCCTAAAGGCAGTATTTAAAATATGAAGCCTAACGTGAATTAAAGCTAAAAACCCCACCATAGAAGTGACATCTCCATTCCAAGAGCACAGCTCTCCAGTTATTCAGCCAAAACTTGTCTTTATTTCAGAGAGGGTTTTACCTCAATAGTGACCAAGGACCTGCAGTTGGGTACTGAGGCTGAGCCCAGACAGTGCTTCATGCCTCTTAGGACAAATTTTACATTTCCAGCTACTAACAAACCCTTTTCTACCCACCTGTTTTTTGTTTTTTTTAGATGCAAATACTGTGACAGGTCCTTTAGCATATCTTCTAACCTGCAGAGACATGTCCGTAACATCCACAATAAAGAGAAGCCATTCAAGTGTCACTTGTGTGACAGGTGTTTTGGTCAACAAACCAATCTTGACAGACATCTAAAAAAGCACGAGAACGGGAACATGTCTGGTATGTATGCCTTTTCCCTCTCCAGCGTGCCCTACGTCCCGCCGGCATTCATATACAGGGACCTCACGTTCACTTTCACTACTACTGTGTGTCAATAGGCACCGGAGCTCTGCGCCGTCTGCTCCGATGAGGGGGGTTTTTGGAAAATATGTAAGTGCCTAAGCTCTGCTGACATTTAAAGTGCTTTGAAAATCCCAGCATAAACTCTACCCCTGTATAACTTAATACCACTGGATGATGCCTTTTCTTTTGGTTTTAATTAAGCCAACCATAGCATTTCGAGAACAGACTGGGAAAATTGGTTTAATCCCATCTCCGCAATCACTTGGCTCTCAATAGGAGTCCTAGATTTAGAGTCTCAGGAGGCACTCTAAAAGATTTTCTTGGCACCCTCTAAAATATTCCCACTGTCAGGAGCTGAAAAGCGCTAGCTATTACGGAGGTAATGGTGCCTCCCAAGCCCCAAAGCAAATCGGTCACCGCACAGCAGCAGCAAAGGCAGCGGCAGGTAGTGGATGTCATTGGTCTGGTTTAGGTATCTGCAGGGTTTAATAAAATCCCTGCCAGCAGTCTTTTCACTCTATGTTTTGCTCCACTGGAAATAGCCAGGTACCTGCAGTCAATGCAGAGCTGTCTGTTCCCTGATGCACAGAGAAAGACGTCTGTCACTGGTCTCTCAGTGCTAATGAACCTGGGTGATTGTGTCAATGGCTGCTCCATATTTTAAGCAAATCTGCATAATTAGTAGCTAAAATAAAGTTCTGTTTGCTCAGTTCAGCCATTGGTCTAGCCCAGTTATTGACTGACGGTCTTGGAGTCGCAAGGGAACACGAGGGAGATGTTGAAATAGATACTTGGCAAAACCAATTAGAAACCATGGAAGTGGCACCCAGCATGCAAGCAGTCATTTTGGCTGGAAACCACCTTTGCCCGTGGATAATAATACTTCCCTTCCAATGACCGGTTTTGCAGCTGATCGATCACTGTGACAAACTTTTCTGGGTCTCACCCATTTTAGCCATCGTTTCAATTTCAATTTGATATAAATGGTTAAATATAGAAAACATAAAGGATCAACAACAGAAGTCCTCTATTTTGCTTTAAGGTACTGCAACATCTTCACCTCACTCAGAACTGGAAAGCACAGGGGCAATCCTAGATGATAAGGAAGACTCTTACTTCACAGAAATTAGGAATTTTATTGGGAACAGCAACCACAACAATCAATCCCCCCGAAACTCAGAGGACAGGTAAGTTGTGACTGATCTGCCTTCAAAAGGTGCCACTCTTCCTTTACCAGATTAAACCTCATTTTTCACTTTTGATGAGTTATTTTAGCAGTCTGGTTGCTTCCGTGTTCACCTTGGTGTCTTACGAAAAGAAGTGTGTTGATTCCTTTCCCATCGTGCATGAGCACATTCCCAGTGGCAGATGCTGAACAGAAGGTTCATCTACAACACGTTTCTCCTTGTATCAGGAGCTCTCAGTTTCAAGTTCCCATCGTTGATTTAAGTCTGTTGAAAAATTCCATCATTTTACATTGACGTAGGCACAGGTGAATTCTACATCATCCCATGGCTAAATGTAGAGAGCCTTATGATTTAAATGCAGTTTAAATGTGTAATTAATAAAGTAGACTAAGCTAAATCCTTGGATCAAATGAAAGGTCCTTTCCTGTAAGTAACTCAAGAAAGATGCTGACTAGCAAGAAATTCGGGAGGCCACGGGTAGGTGTTGGTAGTTCACACTGCTCCAGCATGGGAGAGACTTTTTCCTCCTAAGATTTGTTAAGTATACCAGTGTTTCAGTTCTTCTGAACTAACAGAAGAGAGACCACTTCTAAATATTTTCAGCTAATAAAAATACAGCTAAGAAGAAAAGACTGTAGCATGGATACGCACATCAGCTATACGTAGTTCTTTGAGACTGGTTTTGCATTATGCTTTATTTGTGCTTTTGAATTGGCATTACATTAGCAGCATCAAAAATTTCTTACTGTTGGTGACAAACTTCACTGTCTTCTCAATTTCCAGATGCCTTTGTGAAGGGATGAAAATGGTGGACATAACACAATTTCCACGAAAGTATTGGATTAAGTGATTACATGCATATTCAAAGTTCATTCCATCTTGATTGGCAATGAGGGCTTGGGATTTTTTCTTTGCACATCTGGTCTCAACATGTCCTCCGACAGGAAGTCAGCAAAGTGAAAAGGTTGCTGGGTTGTGCAGTGTTTCCTTTCTAAATTTGGCACTTCAGACTGCTCTTGATGGATATTTTATCCCTGGCAAATTGCTGCATTTGAAAGCATAATTAGAGAATCTGTTTTCTTAATCACATGGCTTTTGTTACTTTGGTTGTAGTCCATCTTCCTTTCATTTCTAGCAGCCTCAATTGAGCATAACAAGCAAGTTGGCAGCCCAAACTGTGCTCAGCAATTTCTTATTTCTGCCTATTTAAATAAAAGATGATAAAGAGATATTGCTCTGATTATCTTAGAGGGGGGGTGGCTGCTTCAGGTCTTCTGACTCTGCACAGCCTCATATTTTTTGATACTGTGATATAAACAGACCATTCCCTAGTTGTTTTTTTTAATTGCAATGCTAAACTCGTGACAATCAGCTTGAATTTGCTCAGAAAATAGATGAAACTATTACGTTTAGGAAAATTATACTATTGTTGTCTAAGAAACTAGCTTTCACTTGCATATGCTCCATAACAAAGTATATCCATTAATAACAGCATGTCAAACATTAAGTACCAAATATGCTGCTAGGGCTCATCCTTATCTTGCTCAGACTTGTGGTATATTCCATATTGTCCCGCACAGTTTGAAGCACACGGAGTCTGAAGCAAACTGCGGGCGGACAATAAAGTTTCCATTTTTGTAACTGTATTCCTGGAAGAGTAAGGACCTTTTGCACAATGAGAACAATAGATGAATCAAGGCCTCTGTGCTACGTAACGCAGTGGAGCAGATACGCTAGTAGCGTGAATTCATGAGGCTCCACCGAGGTCAGCCCTTTTACACCACTAGTACCTCTGGCCGTGGATTTGTCGAAGCGGCGGTGCCAAATTTCTTTAGCTCTCATTTAATGCAGCGGACACGATGCAGCTGCGGATGCTCAGAATCCTGCAGGGTTGAGGCCGTTAGCAAACGAGCCCCTACATCAGCGTGGTATTATGTCCTTGATAAAATCCCGTAGGAAGTAGTTAAGAGAAGTCATTGTCTGAAAGGTAAAGAGAATGCAGTAACAGCGAGTAGACCAAATGGTTTTCCATTTGTGTATTGCTATTATTACTCATTTAATAAGAATAAATGCTCTTAAAGTGCTGTATGACCTTTCTTTTCATTGCTTCTTACCCTACAAATCAGTCAATAATGTAGTTCAGCGTGGAGGCAATATTGCAGACCACTCTCAGGTCTTCAGCTGAAGTCCCTTAGGTTCCCATGTATGTAATCCATACTTTCAGCGAAGTAGTATGGCTTCCAAATGGGTGGTAGTGTGCAAAATTAACTATGCATGTAATTTTGACTTTAAAACTCTGAATGCAGTATTGGATGTCATTTTTGAAAATGCCGGATCTGATTTTCAGAGTTTCTTGGCCCCTACGGCTTCTGTTAAAAGGCAATGAGTTGTTTTGCCCAGACTACATGTATGATTGAAAACATGAGATGAAATAATGCATGAGAAAATTTGGAATGGATATCTGAGCATACCTCTTCAGCAGGATAACAGGAAAGTCCCATGCTGATGGTATTGTAACGTCCCACCGATTTTTGAGTGGAATTTTCTCAATACTGCCTAAACGTCCGAAGCTAAACAAGATATAAAATACAGAAATCACTTTATTCTGCTGGGACAGATCCTTTTCAGATTTGCTTCCATTTCATAACTGATTTGTGATTATTGCTTTGGTTTGTTTCCATACTTTCAGAATGAATGGCAGCCACTTTAAGGATGAAAAAGCCATGGTAGCCAGCCAGAACTCAGATTTGCTGGATGACGAAGAGGCAGAAGATGAAGTAATGATGGACGAAGAAGATGAAGAGAGCGAAATTGCAGGGAAAGCAGTCAAAGAGCCTGTTACAAGTGACATGCACGAGGGGACCCCGGAGGAGGATTACGAGGAAACGAGTACTTTGGACATGAACTGCAAAGCTTCCCCTGGCAGGTTGGTTCCTTCCGAGTATTGGTGCTCCCGATATGTGAAATGAAAACAATAAACCATACAAGAGTGCCAGCACCAAACTGTGTGCCGTGGGAACCCATCCAAAGTAGCCAGCTTCCCAGTTACGATAGCAACATGCGTCTGTGTTTGGGTCAATACCAGCCCTGTTTTCAGTCTCTTCATGCAATCTGTAGCCCTTAAGAGGAAAAATAACTGTGCTCGGGGAGCTATTGTCAGGTTCTGGGTGAGACAGGAAACGTTCATGGGAGAGACGTTATCTGCTCCATAACCTGACCTGGATCTCCCGTTAATGGTCTTGTGAAAGGCTGTGGAGACACCAGGAGAGAGAAGACGTCTCCCTCCCCTGCTCCCGCTGCCCACCCTCTCCTCTCTTAGAAAAGAAAGGGGAATTTCTTCTATTTCAGGATCACAATTCCACAGGGCCAGGTGGTTTGTGAACATAAAAAAAGGGGGAAATTGCTCAGATGCGTAAACCTGAGAGGACGAGGGAACGCAGAGAGGATTGTTTAATTGACGTTAAAACCTCCGTGGTGTTTTTGTAGGTATAAAGAGGAGGAGTATAATAAGACTGGACTTTCGGCTTTGGACCACATAAGGCACTTCACGGATAGCCTCAAAATGAGGAAAATGGAAGAAAATCAATGTAGTGAAGCTGAATTGGCAGCTTTCAATACTTCCCAGCTGCCAGAGGACCTAAAACAACCGTTGTACAGGAAATCCAAATCCCAGGTAAAAGCTTAACTCAGTTAAAATGTTATTGTCGCCAAATACCCGAAGGATTAAATCGTTAGTGTGTGGCAGGCAAGGTCGGTTCAGCTTTGTCAGACAGGGCTGTGCTCCACGTCCGCAGACCTCGGCCTGCCCCGACCTCCCCCTGCGCTCCCACTGCACCCAGGAGACACGGCAGGGTGCTCCGGTCCCTGAGAACGGAGGTTTTTCTTTCTTTTTTGCTATTTTTGTTCCTGTCTGCCACCCACAGAAATGCCCCGCTAAGAAATAGTCCCACTCTGCTTTCAAACAGCCGGCGCAGTCACACTGATGCCGTGGAGTTTAGCTGCAGCCTCGCAGGGACGTGACTCAATCTCCTGGCTGGCTTGGCTTTGGGTATTTTTTTTTTTTTAAAGTCTGTTGGATGTTAGCGCCTCTAGGTCCTCAGCATGTGTTTAAAACAGCAATAACTAGGCAGATACCCTAGTGCTAGCTCTTGAAATTTTTTTGAACATCAATTAATATGGGTATTTTTAGCCCCTTTAAAAGATTCTTGTTTTAAAAACTGCAGAATATACCTGTAGAAAAGGTCAGCAAAGACAACTGTGGTATTTGGTGAAATACAGGACCAGCCAAGGGATAATGTGATTCCTCAGGCTCCTGAAAAGAGCCTCCTGTGCCAAGAATCTGAAGGCAAAGGAGACTCTGGGACCTTGTCTATTATCAAAAGTTTCTCAGAGCTTCGTGAAGCCAGATGAAAGCAGAAATTATTACTGCTATTAGTGAGTCAGAAGTGTCAGTGAAGAGGCTGACAGTGGTTTTACCTAATGCGCTTTGATATTTTTTAAATAAGTTGGGAATAGCAGTTGCAGCCTAAATGATGCCCTAACTGCGTAGGGGTGGCACGGGTCCAAGCTCAGATCCGTGCCGCGGGATCATGACCTCTTTGTCCTCCTTCTTTCCCTGTCCAGGCGTACGCGATGATGCTCTCTCTCTCCGACAAGGACTCCCTTCATTCTGCATCCCACAATTCTCCCAACATGTGGCACAGTATGGCGAGAGCCGCTGCAGAATCCAGCGCCATTCAATCCATCAGTCACGTATGACATTGTGAAGTCTTACCGAGAATGGGACCAAGTCCAAACCAGTAGCATGGCTCTTTCATATATGACTATTTAAAAGACTGCTGAGCAGAATGCCTTATAAATCTGCAGGGTCACTCATTTAAAGTCCGGTGACCTTAAACTGAATAATTTTAAAAAGAAAGAAACTATTTATTCTCAATATTTTGTTTTGCACAGCAAAGGCAGCTGCTGACTTCTGGAGGATCAATGCGACTTAAAAAAAAAAAAAAAAAAAAAAGTTTCAGTGGATTATGTAAAAGGAGGCCGGGAAAAAGTGTCTTCCAGTTCACCCGGCTTTGAGGGGCAGGGGCAAAAGGGTTAAGACTGCATTGATACACACATGGGCACTCCTTTAAAGTAGGAACTGAATTGATTTTCTTTTTGTATAAGATAGTTTGACACAGGATTGGGAACAGTTGCTTTTATGTACAAATCTCTTCATTAAAGCTTTATGCATTTTAGCCCTTCAAAGAAAGAAAATAGTTCTATCAAATGCACACTATCCATCGTAAATGTAGAAAGAAGTACCAGGGAATATTTTGTTCTCTCCGTAATTCTTTTGCCTTCTCAACTGCATTGTTAAAAAAAAAGGAAAAACGAGAAAAAAAAAAGAAAGAAAAAAAAAAGAACTCTTGAGAAACAATACATAAGAGGCTTGTGTATATTGTAAACTATGAATGTTCACTACTCCAAGAAGCTAAATCATCCAGATAATTCCGTGAAAGCACCGCGTTCATCGACAGCACCACTATTTCAAATCATTGTAAGGAGATTTTAATTTTCGACAATCATGTCACTATTTTGTTGTATTGTTTCCTTTCCCCCCTACCCTCTAATTTCTTCTTTGTGTTGTGTGTACCATGTATTTATTTGTTGGCAAACGATTGTTTGTTGATTAAAATAGCACTGTTCCTATAACAAACAGCACTGCTCCAGTCCCCCACTGCGTTATGATGTAAGGCACCCATGTACTTCAAAAAAAGTGAGGTGAACTGATCTGTGTATATGGGAGTGCAAAACAGTGTTTGAAATTTTCTTACATTCCTCTTTTATTTTATTTTTGCCTTTTAATGAACTAAATAACTAATAGATGCGACTTAGGTTTTTTTTGTAATACAGTAAATTGATTCAATTGTATAAACAGTTATAATTTCTTCATGAAAGCATGATTCTTCTGATTAAAAAACTGTACCCAATATTTTATGCTGGTTGTCTGCGAGCTTGTGTGATGTTATGTTCATGTTAATCCTATTTGTAAGATGAAGTGTTCCAAATTTATGTTTTAAAAAAAATAAATAAATAACGGAAGGTATTCAGTTATTTTTTGGGGGTTTTTTTTGGCCTTTAGTGAGGGACCAGATTTATTTTTCCTTTTGTTTATAATCTCATTTTGAAATAATCGGCAAGTTGAGGTACTTTCTTTAAATGCTTTGTACAATGTAACTGTTACGCATTTCAGTACATTACTATGGGAGGATCAACTTAAAAAAAAAAAAATAAAGAACTACAAAACCGAAGGGATCTTTTTCCTTATTGTCTTGTTTTTGTCTGGGTCAGGGCAAAAATGGCATATTTCATCTGCAGTCTGGGGAGCAAAGCCCCTGTCTGGGGGGTCATAGGATAAGGGTAACCAGAGGATGGGGCACTGCAAAGCGTCCTGGGCTCGGTCACGCAATTCAGATCCCAGCCCAGAATCTCTGCATAGACCATCGGAGGGGTTTAGATCAGTCCTTTAAGTTTCAAAACGCTACCTTGGAAAAGAGAAATATTTCACTCATTTTACAGGAGTGCAAGGTCGCCTTCGAACGCTGCTGGGGAGCCTTGAGCCGGGGCTGGTGATGCACGAGCCTGCTGCTCACGGGGACAGCGTCGGGAAGCGGTGGTTTGGCTAACAGCAGAGCAGTCGCTTGCCGGAACACCACAAATCCATAGCTGAGAAGCTAAATGGAGCTGCAACTGCCTGAAATGAGCCCTTGGAGTCTGAAAGGAAAAAAGTAAAAGGAAAGAGAATATTTTAGTTTGAGTGTTCCCTTTGAAATCGGGTCCAAAGCCCTACTTCTGGACAACTTGCAGAGCGGTGGGAGCTGAAATGTCCAGGAAAAGTCAGCGCTGGCCCAGGCGATGCAGATTTTCCTGCTCTTCCCATCAGCAGAGAGGGACTGAGGCAGCTCTGAGGGGGACCGTGGGCTGTCCCTGCCTGCCACCCCCAGCTCGGTCTTTGGAGCAACTGCACAGGGCTGTGCTTCACGTTTAAGTGACTCAGAAGTGAACGTGGCACACTGTGGAGGTGTCTTGCGCAGTGGGACCAGGGACTGCTGTCACCAGATGCAAGCGAGCTAGCAAGAGCAAGCAAGGAGGGACCGCAGCGCTGGGTGTCAGTAACCCAGAGCAGTTAGTAACAAACTGCACATGAAATGCAGCACTGTCTGGGTGGGAAAGGCACATTTAGGGAATATGATTTGTAGGAGGTTTGGTTAAATCTGGCTCCACTGGAGCCAAAAGTATCTCCAAAGACTGAGACCTTGTCTCCAGGCCAAAGGCAAGGGGTGCTCCTCTCAGCAGTACAGACCTCCTGTAGCTCACCAGATCCGTAATTTACATTTCAAAATAACCTGTATGTCCGATTCCCGTCTTCAGCCCAGCTACGGATTGACTTGTTTTATAACCACCACGTAGCAATGGGCATTGGCAGGGCTGAATCCAAACCCAGTGAGGACAGGCACGGGCTGCCTTCGGTTTGCACTTCCAGCTCCCGAGCCTCATGCACAGGCTGGTGGCAAGTTGAGACCTACAGGATGGTGCTTTTCGTGCTGGAAACCTAAACAGCTTCTTGTGCACCCCCCGCCTACTCGCTGGGGGGGGGGGGGGGGGGGCAGGAAAAAAAAAAAAAGGAAAAAAAGAGGCCTGTGTGCATGTTCTTGTACTCACTTCACTGGCCTGAGCCAATGGTCAGGTACCTGCAGATAATTGCATAAATAGGCTATTATTTTTGTTGCAGTTACAGTCACCGTGAAACTTGGTTTTAGGTTTCTGCCAAATAAAGAGAACAAATAGATTAATCAAGTCAAGTTTATCTGCAAACAACTTTCCAGATCGTTTTCCCCTTTAATTTGATGCAATGACAGCTCTTATCAGCTCTGCCCTCATCTGCCCTAGATGAAAGGGCTTTTGGGAGGTGGAGAAAGGGTGGGACAGTTTCCCCTGGGTTTAATGTTCTGGGTTATGGTAGCACACTCCCATCATATAACTATCAGGGAAAGTACTCCTCGGGCCAAGCCGTAGGGTTAGTTTAACCTGCACTTAGCCAGGTTTATTGACCATCGGGGAGCGGCTAACACCATCTCGTCAAATACCCCGGGACGAGGTTTCCCTTGAGAGCCTTGAGCTTTGTATGTTCATCTCAAAGTATCTCACCCAGCAGCCCTGCCTACGGGGTGCAATGAGCAGACGGGGAAACATATCACAAGGGGTCCTCCAACTCCTTGTAGACACTTTACCATGACCTTGATTTTCATTGTTTTTTTCTCAATGGCAGTTATTCACCCAGAGAAATAGCTGAAAAACAGACCCAGATTTGATTAGCCATCTCATCCCCCAAATAAACAAACCTGGATAGTTTTTGTGTTTGTGCCATACTCTCCCTGATGGACCACACAGATGCACTTGTCCAGATGCAAACAGATTGCTGAGGGAGGACAAACATTTCTGATCTTCTGCTACAATGATATATTTTTTTTTCTTTTAGAAAATAATTTCAATACTTTTTCAAAAAAACCCTTCAGGTTATTTCAGCAGCATCCTACTGTTCACCCCACTGTAGTAGTTTTCCATAAGTCAACAAATCATTCCCATGTGGTACAGTAGACTTACTAGACGAAGGAGCTGCATATTACTGCCTCAGTTCCTATCTACAGAATATAACAAAGCAGCAGCATGACAAGATGATTAATCGATATTTCACCCTGGCCCAGATCCTCGATACCACTACGGGTCCGAGTCGCTGTTCTCGTGTCAGCCCTGCTGTTTTACTGTGTTAACAGCCGCATTTGCGGAGTAATGGGAGGGGAAGTTATTATAAAAATATCTGTGAGGCTGCTTTTGCTCAGTGGTTCAGTTTGGCCCGTTGCTCCATGCTTGTCTTGAACTTTAAAACTTTCTGTCAGATCCCTCTTGCTCAGGCGTACGGAGAATTGCTGCAAACTCCTGGATCATTTCGACGCACTCTGCTGCCTTCCAGCTATATTAAGTCTCGTTTGTGGTTTTGCTGGTCAGTCATATAACGGCGTGGAAAAGCTAGTTCATTTTAAAGATGCTTCCAGTAATGATTTAACCAAAACAAAGGCATCAAGCACCAAACAGAAGACCCTTTCTCCATGTCAAGGACTGTATACCTCGCCAGGGTTCCAGTTATAAGAAAAATGTATTCTGCAGCCTGCCAAAACCATCCTCTTTCCCATCCCATCGACCGTCTGTGTAGGTTTGTGAGTGTACCTAGTCTGTGGCTTCCGATAGCCCCATTAATTCATCTTTTGTTTCTATACAGAAAATTTTGCCAGCTTTAGGAAAGGCTCGGTGTTGCAATTCAGAGTCACTTAATGAAGTCTGGAGAGAGGGTGAAGGGGAGAACATGAAATAAAAAGTAAAAAAAAAAAAAAAATACTGTATTCCTTTTATTTTCCTTTATTTCTTTTCCCCAACTCAGTTTCATTTGCTGCTAGAGGAAAACAAATTTCAGCAAAATTTACTATTTTCCCAGAATTTAGATTTTAATCAGACTAACATTTAAATAATCCCTGAAAAGAGGCCTCACTGCCACGTAGCGATTCAGGAACTCGTGGTACGTCTTGCAAGACTGAAGCCTTTTTCCCAAAACTACCGGCTAAATTTTGCTCAAGACCAGTTTTCCCCCTGGGTATGACCATAAACCAGACTGAACACAGATCCCTTTGCTGCCACGTGCTGGAAGCAGAGCCTCCTTTTTTTGATCCAGGAGCATCCGTATTTTAATGGCAAGTGAAGCTATTTATATCTATAAATCCATTCGGGGAAGTTTGAACCTTTTATTGTGAAAGGTGCTGTGGAAATATAAAAGTGGCCTCGTATAACGTGCTGGGTAGGGGCTTTAGCAGTATCTGCTCCGTCTGTCTGAGCGGAGGGTCTGAAAGAAGGCACCTCCAGAAAGCACCCTCCTTTTTCCTGCTTTATTTTAATACTAATTAATTCCAGAAAGGCTAAAGAAATGTGATGAAATCGTACACTTCTAAGAAAAGGTTTTGCCCGAGAGTCTTAAAGCAGGCCTCCCAGCTTGGGAGGGTCTAGTGGGAGAAGAGGGTTAGTGGTCATTTTGAGGCTTAAATTATCAGTAATTAAGAAGTTGATTTTCTGGGATTGGAGAAAATTTTAAACAGCTGCTTCTTTCAGGTCTTTACTCCTCATTTTCATTAGCATGTGCTAAGGCAATCTGGAAAATATATTTAGATCTATATTATGCTGTGTCAAGACCTCAGCATCTGTACCTTGGGGCAGATACATGTGAGATAGCCGAGGGTAGATGTGCCAGCACGCACATGTGGAAGTGTTCAATTTGTAATATGATTATAGCCCCAAAACAAAGCCTGCTTGATACCTGTGGCATATTTGTTTCATGGTAAGTGCAGAAAATTCTCAAAAATCGTGTCATGTTTCGCATCACCAGCCAACTCAAACTAGAGAAGTAGCGCTTTAATTCCTGGGGAATCTCTTTCAACAGGCGCGTGTCAGGCCCAATTAAGGTCCAGGCAGCCCCGCTAATTGGGTTGAGGTATGCAGCGGCTTAACGTGGTCATTTAGCAAAGCAGCTCCTTTGTCCAGGCCTGCGCCCGCCCTCGCGCCAGCCTGTCTCTCTTCCCAAGGGCGGCCGGTGGAGAAACTCCTGCTAGAAAATTGCCTGGAAAAAGTTAAATAGCGGAGTGAGAGTTTTTAGTAGCGGTGGATAAGAGACAGCTCAGGGTGCTCAGCCGGCA